CTAGGAAGAATGTATGCAATGTGTTAATTATTGAAACTGTCCTACCAATTTGGTTTGAAACTGTCTCATTGCTATTTGTTTCTCAATAAAATTATGAAAAAAAAAAGTTTGAACGAAATCATTCCAAAAGAGCTCTCACTCTGACCTTGTTGGTCCTTTGCTATCAAACATACAGGGCACTTTGGCCTTCTGGTACACTAAGCAGGCACAGAGGGGTGTGGCGCAGCATTTAGATGTCACCTGCTGACCTCCTCTGCCCCATGAGGTTCCCCTGATCCCCAAGAAGGATGAGGCCACCCCCACTTACCAAACCTCCTCAGCGAGCCAAGGCAGTGCTGCGCTCCACTGGGTGACAGGCACAAGGTGTCCTTCGAGCTCCTCTGTTCCTCGAGCTGCAAGACAGAAGAGGGCTCTCCTGAGTGAAGCCCACAAAGAGCAGCCTGCGATCGGACCGCTGAGCAGGGTGGAGGGGGAGAAGACCCAGCGCGATGCTTCGCTATTGTTATCTGCATCTTTGTGCATGTGTTGAAGCCCAAGGAAAACCAAATAACTGGGCACTACAGGAAACTTCCCCCAGCTGCATACGCGTGAAAAGAGAGGTGCATCCTCTGGCCGGGTCTGCAAGGCTACTCACATGCACATCAACTCAGGGACACTCATGGAAGAATATCTCACTGTGCCAAGTTAGAGAAATGGAGAGGGAAGTTCAGAGGTTTGACCAGCTGCTAAAACTCAGCTCTGCTACTTGGTAGCTGGGGGATATGGAGCCTTTGACTCAACTTTTCTGAGCCTCCTTTTCTCAGCTAATGGGGGGCTGACATTCCCCATCTATACAGATATGAAGCCCTTGGGGCCTGGCATGAAGAAAATGCTTAGCAAAGAGCAGCTATGGTTATTACATTCATGTACAACACTTCCTCAGGGGTTGGGATGTGGCTCGGTGGGATAGCACGTGCTGTGCACGCACAAGGCACCGCAAAAACAAGTGACAGAGAGAATTCTTTCTGCAGAGGCATGCTCTTGCAGGGTACAATGCAAGTGTTCAAAACTGTTTAAAGTATTTTAAATGTTCCTTCACCTTTAGAAACCTATACAGGTGGACTTTCTGCCCATACAAAACTAATACTCCCTATCTATTCAGCTTCCTATTTAAGTAAACCTATTTGACTAGTTAGGTTCTGTAAGACCGATTCTATTACAGTGCTAGTCCTTCAAGAAGCGTTCTTATTCCTGCCCCACCAAGGAAGACCACAACCTACACTTGGGTAAGAAACACTGAGTCACACTAATGCCTATTCCAAAGTTCTCTGCAGCACAATGGCCAAATTAACTAGGGCTGAGCTTCTGATTAATATATTGTGCTTGCAGGAACTTTGGCCCACAGAAACTTGGCATTTGACAGATTTCTCCGAGTCCAACCTTGTCACAAGTGCTGGTTTCAAGGGTAATAAAGGACCTATTTGCCTATAGCCCACAGAGGTGGCGCCCTGTTGCTCCGCAGCTCGGACCGCTCCCATCCACTGAACCCTTAGAAAGAAACTCTGCAGTGTGCGTCAGCTTTTGGGGTGAACAGAATGAAAGAGTATGTACTTCCAACCTCAAAAGCACCAGTCCTTCTTGGAGTTCTGAAATATCAGTTTCTCAAGAACCATGACTATGGCCCCAAGATCGAAGAGCCAAAAAAGGAGACAGGTGTTTGAGCAGGTGTATATTATCACCATCCAGCTTCAGCCTTAGAGAACAATCTGCTCTCCATGATGGCCCTGGGCTTCCTTTTATTGCCATGTTATAAAACAGGAGTCAGACACCAGGAAGAAGCCACAGAAAGTGAGAGACCACGTCCCTGCCTGATGTGGGCTGCTTCGTGCCCTCACCTGGCTAATCACATGCTAAAATCTGAACTCTCAGTCTCCAACAATATGTTTGAAGAAAACGGCTTTAAAGAGGTGATGATGGCCATATGAGGTCACTGGCTGGACCTCACATGACACTGCAGGTGTCCTTATAGGAAGAGGTCAGACACAGACTGAAGGGCGGCCATGAAGACACAATAAAGGGATGGCCCTAGACCAGCCTAGGGGACAAGCCTCAGGAGAAGTCAAACTGGCTAATACATCCACAAAAAGAGAGAAAACTGTTATAAAGCCACCATGCAAAATATGGCTGTGGCTTGACAGTTGACAGCCCTTCAGTTTGTAGTCCTTGGGCTGACCCAGGGCAACGTGATACTCAGAAACATCCACTACTCATACTTGCAGCACTCATTCAACACATACTATGAGCTGTGGCCAATGTCAGGGGCTGGGATAAGGAGTCCTGGTACTGAGCTAGGCTAGAAACACCAGACTGCAGAGACAAACTCAGCAGGACACGGTGAGGCATCCCTATAATCCTAGCACCCTGGAATTTTTGAGGATAAAAAGAGAAATTTGACCCCATACTGGGCAATTTAGCAAGACTCTGTCCCAAAAATTGAAAGTAGTTGGGTGTACTGGCACATGCTTGCAATCTAGTAGCTGGGCTACAGAGGCAGGAGGATCGCCATGAGCTCGAAGCCATTACAAAGTAAGACCCTGTCTAAAAAAGAAAAAGTAAAAGTAAAAAAAGCAAAATGACAAAGCCAAGAAGGTGCAGGTTAGAGGGACACAGAACCGGGTCTGCCTGGCTAATCAAGGAAGAGGTATGCCAAATCCTGGAGGGTAAGTCTGCCCCACAGAATGGCAGGAAGGATGAGGACAGGACGGCTCATTTTCCACACCGAAAGAACAGCCAGTCCCTGGGTACAGGGACACTGGGAGCCTGGCACCTCGGGAGAATGACATTGGGTTGGGCCAGGCCAGCCTGGGGGAGGGCAGGGAGGGCAGTAGCGCAGTCGCTGAAATAAGCACACACTACAGCCCACTTTTGGTTGCACAGGGACCCACTGTGGATTTGGAGTCAGGAAGGCAGGGTTCCCACAACTACGAGCTAGCAGGAACACTCTGACCATGCTGCAGTGGTGGTGATGGGCAGGACAACCTCTCAGGAAGAAGCAGGCAGCATGCTGCCCGAGAAACAGACTCCCCAGCCAAGGGCTTTGGCCATGGCCACGGGTGGCAGGGAGATGACAACCCTCAGCTCTCAACCTGAGAGCCACTTGATCAATGAGAAAATGCCTTTCTCAAGAAATTTAATTCTTCTTTCACATCGGAAAACTAACCCTACTTCTTCCTCTTATGTTTTAGGGTCACATGTGACTGTGCCCCATTTCCTCATATTTTCTTCACTTTATCAAGTTGGTTAATAATGGCATCCCTAGGCTGGCGAGATAGCTCAGCAGTCTAAAGCACATGCTTAGGCAAGCTTAGGCAAACACAGGGGCCAAGGTTCGATCCCTGGCACCACATGCAGTGCCAGCCCCACCCCCAGAGCAGGCTGAGCTGGTCACACAAAAAATAAAGTAAAATAATGGCACCCCTATACCTCGAGTTAACCAGTGCCAGTACTTAAATCCAATAAATGCTCATTAAAGCAGAAATAAACATTAAAGAACAAATGAGGAATTAACCACTGTGCCAGTAAGGGTAGCTTTCCTTGGTGAATATGAGCCAGATTCAAACAGCAAATGCAGCCACAAAAGGACGGAGCTGGGTGTGATGGAGGTCTCTCCAGACCCCTCTCACTGCCACCTAGAAAGAGATCAAGCTGTCTCTTTATTTGTATGTGGATTTCAGGAGGCCTGGAGTGGGGGTGGGGAACTGACTGTGTAGGAACACAAGAATGCTCTAGTGAGACGGAAATGTCTAAAGCTTGCTTGGGGTTTCCACATCATATATAGTTGTTCAGAGGCATTATTAAAACTGTGTGTATACTTTATCATATGCAAATTATACATCAATAAAGATAGAAGGGAGGGAAAAAGGGACTCTCGAGGGAAGAGAGCTGGGCATGATGGTATAATTCTAGCACTCCGTAGGCTGAGGCAGGATAATCAATAGTTTGAGTCTAGCCTGGGCAACTTAGCAAGATCTTCCCCTACTCCCCCACTCAAAAAAAAGAGGGTGATGTGCTGGGAATATCACTCTGTATGAAGGCCCTGTGTTCATTCTCTAGTACTATTAAAAAGGGATATATCTACATCTATATCTATATCTATCTATCTATATATCTAATCTATATATATATTCCAAAGAGAAGGGGTAAATATTTGAATGAAAGAATTAGCCTTAAAAACATTCAATTTTCAAACTCAATTTTCTCTTGAAATGGCTAAAACATTAGGAATGCAAAAAACCTTTTTTATGCAAGAAAGTTTTGAAACTGTCTGTAGGCTTTCACCCCTCACGTCCTCCATCCAAATGATAGCAGTATTCCCCCTCTGGACTCGATGGTCAAGCTGCTTTCTTATGGCTTTGGTAGATTTCTACTTCTGAGCACACTGGTGGGAATTAGTAAGCTGCATGGGAAGGGACTGAGAGCAAATACCTGTGAGGAGCTCAGACAGCAGACCCAGGGCTGGCCTGCTGCCCTGCAGGGTACATGTACCCCCTCAGGCTGGAGCCAGCCTCAGGCCCCTGCAGAAAAGGGGCTGCAAAGAAAGAATGCGGCTAGAGGCTGACAAATTCAAAAGCTGATTTAATGTCAATGTAAACTGCTGCTCAGAGCAGCAAGCAGACATCTTGGGAGCTTGGGACCAAGGAAGTAGAACTGCATACTCTGAATCGGCTGTCTGCAAATATTACTCCTATTCCCGGGAATCTTTGTACAAAGAAAGAAAATGAAAGACCAAATAGTATCCAATGCTGCTTTGAAAATGAACACTGGCACGCAAAATTCAGGTGTCTAATAAGATCTTTTGCATTTTAGTTAAGGAACAGAGGGAAGGTGGAACTAGAGGAGAAACAAGAGGATCAAAAAGCATCTTTGTAAAAGATGTACTGAAAAAAGATTAAAGATGACACAAGCAGGGGCTGGTGAGATGGCTCAGTGGTCTAAAGCACCGACTTAGAACAAGCTTAGCAAAGCACAGGGGCCGCGGTTCAATCCCCCAGCACCACATGCCAGCCTGCCCCGCCCCCTGGTGGGCTGAGCTGGCCACACACACACACATAAATAAATAAAAATTAAAAAAAAAAAAAGATGACACAAGCAGCTTTCTCTTTAGAAAGTTATCCGCCTTCACATAAGACTTTTTAAAGAAGGAAAACACAGATGCCAGGAGCTGTTAGAAGAGAAAGCTACCTGACAGTAGATGGGACTGGATGCTTTATTTCCTCTGCCAAGACAATAAAATCCATGCTGTCCAGATCATGCACTAGTACAGGGCTGGTCTAAACAAATTTACACTGAGATTAGATTCACTCTTTCTCTACTTCCGTCTTCCCTCTCTTCCTTAAACATGCTAAATCTATAT